AGGGGAGACTCTCTTTAAAGTTTGTGCTCTTGCCAACACAAACATGTTTTAACTATGGCCAAAAATGAACTTATGTGAAGTGTTGTAAAATTTCAAAAGTAATTAAATATTTTTGTGTTCTTTCAACTAATTTCTCTTATTTTTTGGCTCTTGTCACTTTCTCCTTTCCTCAGGGTGCAGTCTTACACTTCCTCTATTGGACCTGTTATAAAGAGGGACTGTCAGGTATCTTGGCTCAAAATGAGTAGTTGTAGTTGCATTTGAGTAGGGGGCAGGGGAAGAGGTAGCATTCTTTCTATGAGAAGAAAATAGGTCTTATTTTGGTAGAACAGAGCATGGTAGTACCAAAGATGACAACACTAGGAGCGGCAGTAAGTCTTCAAGGCAGCTGTTTATTCTTTCCGCCACTGAGTGCACAGTTAACAAACTATCTGTTATTTCGTTCCTCACTTCAAAGATGTATGAGATTTCTGTCTGTTGTTGAATAATAATTGCTGATCTGTTAGTTGGCAAATAGCCCAGAAAAGGGATTATTAGGAACAAAATTTAACAAAGATGTCTACAATCATGGTTCAGTAGAAGGTTTTGTTCAAAATATTATGGGTGTCTGCAATGACCCGCACGATAGCGGGGTAGTGTGTAATACCAGCCAGCATGCTGGCCATTTGAATGTTGTGTGTTGACTCTAAAATGGGAAAAATGTAGACCTACTACAGTGCAGCTTCAGTAAGCTTATGCTCTGAATGCAGCTGTTAGAACAGCACAAGACAGTACTTGTAGAAAACGTACTTAGGTATCTGAGGAAGAAGAAGGGGGAGGAAGTCAATAGTTTAGTTACTCTTAGTGCTCTGTTGTGATTCTTTCCGAGCAGAATGTGGCTGCTGCTGAGATGCAATTGAAATCTGAATCTTAAAAGGAGGATTTTCACTGGAATTAACCCTGGACATCAGGACTCTGAAACATACAGTGGAAAATTGTTGCTGCTGTTTAGTGTTACACAGATGCAGGCCTGAAAGAGTTGCTGTCCTTGGGTCTCGTCCATCTTGGCTCACTGAGATCAGTGAAGCGTCTCTAAGGTTGGAGATGTAAGTAGTGAGGGAGCGGTTTCATCAAAATCTGAGAGATCAAAAGTTCAGAATAGAAACTTTCCTTATTCCTGGAAGGAGATAAACGGGAAGCACAAGGAGTAGCAGTTTGAAAGTCTCTCTTCTGTAACACTTAACTCCATTGTAACCTCCTGAGGAGTTTCTACATTTGGTTCCAGTTACGCTTTGGATTTAAACTGTTTAATGTTATATCTCCATAAGCTATTGATGTTGCAGAAAGAAAAGTTCCTGATATTTAAGCTGTTTATGTGGCACCCATCATCTTTAATTTCCTCAGTGTGTAGTTCCTGCCATTTTGCTGCCGGGACTCTGTGTGAAGAGCTCCCCTGCCTTCAAATGCACAATCTCATCACTGGGCTGTCTTCCTCATTCCCCAACTTTAGCATCTCCCTCCTGTTAGAGAAATAGGAATTTTCTTTCTCCTTTAATAGGAAGAAAGAAGGAGGTTAAGATAAAAGCTCTTGGCAGCTTCAGCTAGCTTGAAATAGCTTGCAATAACTCTCTTGTGATAATTTCAGGAAGTGGGGTGATTCTTTTTTCCTCCCTCCGTTTAATATTTTGGCGACCGCTGTGCGTGAGTGAAAATGCTGAAATCCTTTGCCACAAAGAGCAGACGCAGTGGAGCAGACTTCTTAGTGAATTTTCCTGAACCCTGACATAACAGGACCAGAAGTGAGCCCTATGAAGAAATTGCATTTCTCTACTTGTTCTCCTGCTTCCTACCAAAATTGCCAGTAAGATCCTCCACAACGAGGGCGGTCAAGCACTGAAACAGGCTGTCCAGAAATGTTGTGGAGTCCATGACTGAAGATAGTTCAAACTCAACAGGACGAGGCCCAAGCAACCTGCTCTAGCCATAGTTGTCCCTGCTCTGAAGGAGATGAGTTGCAGAGGTTCTCTCCTCCTGAAGGAACTCTGACTGTTCTCCATTTCTATATTACTGCATGAATATAGCTGCTTTGGTCAGTCACCAGAACATCTGTGAAGAAAAGTGATCTCAAAATATCCAGAAATGGTCTTCAGAAGTCTGAATAAAGACTTCTGAAAGTGGAGCGTAGTGTGGGCAAACTGCTTTGCCTCAAGTCTTAGAGCAGTAACAGTGCTGGATGGTAAACCTCCTGACTGGCAGGATAGCGCCTTAGTAGTTAAAAGATACTGTCTTTCAACATAAAACCATCTCCTTCCACTACTCAACTACTTTCAGAGCACTGAAAAAAAGACTGCTTTTGCCCTCTAGAAGATCACTTTTTTCTTTGCTTTCTGTCAAATTCATAGCATTTTTAATACTGAAGAACAGTTTATTGCATTGACTTTTTCAGGAAACACTGAGAACATTAGATCTGGAAAAGAATTTGGTGAAATAAAGACAAGAGCTGCAATGGAAACTTTTAGAGAGTGATGTTATTCCCAGTTTACTGCATAACAATTAATCTCTTCTTTTTAAGAGAGGAAAAGAGCAAAGGAAGTTATACACTGAATCCAAATTTGAATCTCTCTTTGTTTAAGAAGTTTAAGTGATTTTTATTTTTTAATGTGGAAATTGAGAAGAAAACAGATCAGCATTTTCAAGAGTGCTGTAGAAGGAGTTAAGCTGTGAGTTAACTTCATCTGTGTTTCAAATTCAAATACTGTGAACAAGGCACCATTCAGATCTTTAGTTATAAATTATGCTGAATTCCTTGTGCTCTGTTTGTTTGGATTCTGTTGAGAGAAGAAAAAACCCCATAGATTTAAACAAAAAAAAAATCAATCCTCTTGTTTCAGTAGCTTGTTTTTTGAAGTGATGGAGGAGGATTCAGCTTTCCTATCTTGTGTGTGTGTAGCACTTATGCAGGTCATCTGCTAATTATTAGCAGCTGTGAAACTATTGGGTTACATAAGTGTAACCAAAAGTCAGTGAAAGCTTGCATCATTCAGCAGATCTGTCCATCATTTATACACCAGAATAACAGACTGGTTTTGTAACTTACTTGACATGGGCATCTAAATACAGAGAGGGCATCAGCAGGCACGGAAAGATGGGAAATCCTTTAAGTCATAGAAATCGGATACAATAATGTGTTATTTTATTGTCACAACAATCTGTTGTCTGATTATGCCTGTGCATCGCTATTCTCTGGAGGGAGCCATGTGTCGGAGTAAAGCCCTGCGGCAGCTGAGCCTGACAGCTGCATAGCGCTGGGCTGCCTGGGTGGCTTTGCTTGGGATGGGTATGGGGCTCGTGCCAGGCTGCCGCGGAAGCGAGACAAGTGCCAGTGCTTTGAGATGTATCGCAGATGAGCCACGCTCAGCGATATGGCTGAATACAACAAACTGCATTCAGCTTTAGAAAAGGGGTCTCTAAGATGGGACCTATGTAGAGCTGAGAACTTGAGATTTCTCCACAAGAGAAATAGACGTGCACGTGAGAGCGTGCTGGCAGAGAAAGGCCCAAGCCGGCTGACCCAGCCATGCTTCCCTGCTTATAACACTGTCTCAGCACACCACTGAATTCGGTTAGCAGCGCAAGTGACTTCTCCCTGAAATCCAGGGTATGTCAAAGACTTAATCTCCTATAGTTTTTAAGTCCTAAATCATAGTCTATCTCATGAACTTTCTGACCTAGACTTCAGTTTTGTGTTTTTAAAGTCTCGTCTGTCTTGTCTTCTCTTCTTTGTGAGTTGAAGGACCTCCATAGACATGAGAGAGCGTAGAAATGGCTCCGAGTGCAGTGCTGTCAAATATGCAAAGTATACAGTTCTTGAAATATTTTTTCTTGGGTATTAAGAAGGTAAAACTAGTTCTAGCAAATTTAGTGTCCCTGCAGACCAGGCCCTGCACCAGTGATTAAGAGCTGTGCCCTGGCTGCTTTTTCAAGAAACTGGAAGAGAAGATTGCCTGAGCCTCCATTCTTTTCACAACTTTTTTTTTTTAAGAGATGATGTGAACTGTTAAGTTTGAGCTGTTGCCCTAGATCAGTGGTCTCTTTCTCTCTCACTTCTACTGGGAGAAAAACAAATTGTGTCTCATCAGCTCACTTCACTTTGGCAGTCCCTGAAAAATCATAGACCTTCATAACAGCCCTCACATTACCTTAGTCCCTGAGAAAGTATAAGCTCTTAAAGGTAGCTTATGAGCTCCAGCTGCTATTCTGGCTCTTCAGAGCCATGAGAAGGTGGTCTGAATTAGGACTGTTTTATGACCTCTTTTTTTATGGAGGGGATCTCTACTGAACAACAACAAAAACATTCTGAGTCTGATCTTTAGTTTTAAAGTCTGTAACATTCAAAATATAGCCTTTCTAAAACAAATTTCCAGAGTACTGGAAGAACCTTCCTTTTTAGGAGTAACATAATCAGAATGGCAACTGGTTTCATAACTGGCATCAGCTAGGTAGCTTTTCTATTGGAAAGATGTGGGTAAAGAAAGATACCTCCTCTGGAGGTGGGAGGGATATTTAAAGTCACTTCACCCTTACCTCCTCTCTGGGAAATGTTTGTTAGAAAACAGCTAGTAATTCAAGGATACTGCTTTTGCCTTTCAGATCAAATGTAATAGATTGCAATTTGGCCAGCATGGACAGCATCAGCCCTGCAGTACTTAGCTCTGCAGTTCTTCTTGATTTGCACTAAGTAATCAGTCTTTCTGAGCTAGTCATTTCAGTTACTGCTTTCCTAGCTTCCTGATTTTTACCCAATGGGTGAGGAGCCTTATCGTGAGATTTCTTAAAAAGCAACACAACCTGAACTCATCCTCTTCAGCTATCCCCTGATCGCACATCCAGTATCCTGCTGCCTCCTGTTCTTCTCGCTTGCTTGACTTTGGGATCTTTTTCCCTTGCTCCTAGTGCCAGTCTGAGCTCTTTGCAGTTAATTGTTTTTCCATTTTTCCTAGTCTGTCATGTCCCTGGTTTTCAGCGGTCCTTAGCAGAGTAGATGGGAGAGCGAAGAGAAATTCCTACTTAGCTGCTGCAGAACTGGCCTTGAGCATGCTCAGAGCAAGCTGAATGTCATCTGCCAGGTACTAGCAAACCTTTACCGATCGTAATTTATACAGATTGGGGCAGATCATTTTTGCTGGCTGCTTTGCCGGTGTATGAGAACCTTCTGATGTGGTTGTAAGACTTTTCTGTGGACAAAATGGGTTGATTCCCCAACTTATTCTTGGGAAATGATTGAGCCCCTTTGGCTACCAAATTTCCCCAAGTTTTGCCTAGAAATGCAAATTAGAGAATTTTCACCCTACTTTCACATTTGATCAAATGTGAAGTTACTGAAAACAGCTCTTAAAGTATTAAGTGAGAACTATAAAAGGCATCACTGTGTTGCATATATTAGAAGTAAACAAACCATTTCCTCAGGCATGTAGTGAGCCTATGTGACTCAGAGTATTGATCATCTTATATTTATCTCTACTCAGTCAGATGCTCCTTCTTGTTTCTTATACTGTCATATATCTTGCCTTACATTTAAGTCCTCCAAGATAGGGAATGTATTTGTTTGGTGCCTGATAGAATACAATTTCTATTCCAATTGGATGAAATGAAAATTCAAATAATGGCAGTGTCCTGGTAAAGAAGGTATATGAGTATGAACATTTCAATCGCAGGGATAAAGCGATCCATCTGAGACCACGGAGACAACGTCTACAAGAATCTCATCATTCCTCTCTGCGGATTGTGTTATCCAACTACCCCAGACTAGTATACTTGACTTTGGAGTCAAGCGGTAAGATGTATAACTTTCCCAAGCGTTAGTGCTGGAGGCACAGTGGAGCCTAAAACTCTCAAATGGAAGCAGACATCCCCAAAACTTTGTTTTAATACCAGGCAGCACCAAACCATATGGAAATAATTCTCTTGTGGATCCTTCTTCTGTATTTTCAAATACAAGTTCTGCATTTGATTGAAATAGGTGGCTTAGAGGGACAGAAAACTTGTTTTGTGGCACAACTTATTTAAAATAGGTTATTCCTAATTGAATTGACTGGCATCCCTGTGTGTAAATGAGCAGCTCATGCTCTTGTCTTGGAGTCCAGGAGCAGGATGCATAATTCATTTCCTCTGAGCTGAAACCAGTGCCAGTGTGATAGTGGCTGGAAGAATCTAAAGGTATTTTGAAGTTCTAAGGGTGCTTTAGAAGTATCCCCAAAAAAGATAATTTGATTGAAACTGGTAATGTGGTACTTCTAAGTTTTAGTTTTAATTTCAGGTTCTCTAAACAATGATGCTCTTCAAAGTGCATACTTTCCTGCCCCCTTAAGTGACTAGAGCCGATAAAGTGGAATCAGAGTAATATTTCTTTCCTCATTTATTGATTTGCCTCTTCCTAGCATATCTTTGCAGGGTACCAAGGTGCCCAAGATTTACCATAACTTTTTTTTTTAATTCATGCATCCTTAAAGAAGTGTTTGTGCTGACTGAAGTCAAGAGGAAGGCAAATTAACTTTAGCTGCTATAGGGAACTAGAAAATGAAGTGTTCCATAACTGATAAACTGTATGAGATGACTGGGCAAGTTCCTTTTTTTGTTCATCTAAAATGTGGCAGTTGAACATCCTTGATAATGCAACTGAATTGCAGGGTAAAACCCAGTTGCGTGTAATTGTGGACAGTACTTAAATGAGAACACTATGGGAATAATACGTGCTTCCAAGGGAAGGAACTGTTTTTGTCATCTTCTGGTTTTTGTTGCTTAACAACAAGTTCCCCTCTTAGGAGGAATAATGGAGTTTAGAGTAATTTGCTCTTGCTTAGACTGAAACTTGTTGTTCTTCTGATAAATATGTTTATTCACTATGTCAGCGCATCAAGCAGTGGGACTGATGTGGCACCACGGAAATCATGGTAATGATACTATATACTACTGCATTTAACAGCTTCCAAGGCCTTCACAAACGTTAGCCATACTAACTGATGTTGGTTTTGTGTTCACTCCAGGCTTTCCATGGGGAGGTATGGAGAGAAACAAATGAAAGCAGAATGGAAAAATCCTATAAGAAGGGAAAAGTGAAAAAATACACTATATTTTAACCTTCTTCCCTTTATGTAGAGATAAGGAATTGTCCCACTGCCATTTCTTAGTTAGGCATGACTTTGTGCCCTAGGAGGTGAAAACAGAGGCCAAAAATATCACTCTGAACTACAATTCTCTCTGGAAGTGTCAAACAGCCAAATGGCAGGTATGTGCAGTACTTGCTCCGTTCTTCCCCCTTGATCTAAAGCTGCCATGTTGGAATAGCCCTGAGAAAAGCACAGGGGAGCAGGATGGCTCCAAGCAAGATCTTTTCCCAGGGCTTTCCTCTGGGTTTTTTCCCTTAGGTTTCTGTGGGTGCTCCCACCGTTCTCTCGCAAAGACCGCTCT